GATATTCTTTGATACTATTCCAAAACTCAGTAAGTGGTATCCATGCATCTTTTTTATTGATAGACTTTATTTTTTACAGAATTTGAGGTTCACAGCAAAATTGAGCAGAATATACCAGAAAGTTCCTATATATGTCCTGCCTTATCCTACATACACAGCCTCTTCCCACTGCCAACATCCTGCACCAGGGTGGTACATTTGTCAGAATTGGTGACCCTGCATTGACACATCACTATTGCCCAAAGCCCACAGTTTACGTTACTGTTGCTCTGGGTGTACATTCTATAGTTTTGACAAATGTAAAACAACATGTTATCTACCATTATCAAATCATAACAATAGTTTCATTATCCTAAAAATTCTGTGCTCTGCCTATGTATTCCTTTCTTTCCTCTTTCCCACCCCTTAGTCTTGGCAATCACTGGTTTTGTTATTGTGTCCACAGTTTTGCTTTTTCCAGAATGTCATATAGTTAGAATCATATAGTACATAGTGCATGCATGCTTTTGTAAAACAGGCATTAATCACTTTAAAAATACTAGTTCACTGAGTTATGCAGATCATCCAAATATTGACATATTTTATAAATACACTAGCATATCAAGTCTTATAGCTTCTCAAAAACTCCACTGTATACACATGGTCTTAGTATTATATTATGAAAGTAATTTTGAGATTGCACACCCTCTGAAAAAGTCTGGGGGACTCCCAGAGGCTTCTGAACCATATTTTTACTACTTGTATGGTTTCATATTTTACATTTCCATCAGTATCTCTGGAATTTTAAAATCTAAGCTGTGTTGTTGGATACAAGTTAATTTTTTTTCTTCATGGTCATTAGTAGCCACTTGAACAATAGTACATCTTTTATCGATTAGGTTTACCAGGCATAAAACTCTTTTTCAGTGGGAAGAGGACCTTATGTGTACTCTCTTCTAGCCGTGTTTCCTCTGGTTAAGATAAATAAGGAATGTCAGCTCTGTTATAAGGCAACATTGTTTATTATAGAATGACCCTTGAATGGAACTGCATCTGGATAGGGAAGATTTTGAGTAGACTAAAAAGTTCTTGGGAAACACAGACCATAGCTTCCCTGTATACATGCAGTTTGATTTGTGCAGGGACCTAGAAGTCCTGAGTTACTACAAGACACTCATTCCTGAGGCACAGGAAACTTGCCCTATGGCATATGAAGCTCACGTGGGGGTGGGGTACTATAGAATGTCTCTTGGATTTCTGTAAGGGTCATCACTGAAGACAACGTGATTGTAGTTGCCTGCTCGCATACTGTTTTCCTGTTTTGTATCACACAAAGTTAGGGGAGCCTGGTTTCATGCTATAATCTATTTGATCCTATGAGTGGAGAGATGAGTCTGTATCTAAGACCATTGCTGGTAGTTATGAAAAGTAAGGTTTGTAATTATAAACTGAATTCCTGTACATATTTGGTCTTTTTCTGGGCTATTTTTTTTTACTATATGTTCATGTACCAGTAGCATACTTTAAATTTTTTTATATTCATTTGAAATAAGATTTTATTTATTTATTTATTTTTAGAAGTGGGGAGGGAGGAAGAGAGGGAGAGAAATATCAGTGAGTTGCCTCTTGCACTCCCCCACCTGGGGGCCTGGCCCACAACCCAGACAAGTGCTCTGACTGGGAATTAAACCAATAATCTTTCAGATTGTGCAGGCTGGCACCCAGTCCACTGAGCCTCACCAGCCAGGGCCAGTGCCATACTTGTTAAATCAAGGCTTTATTATAGTTTTTAACAGTGGTAGGCCTGTTTGCTTCTCATTCATCTTTTAAAGTATAATTTTCTTGACTACTTTTTATTTTTCTCTCTGAATTTTTAAATGCTATTTTATTTTCTTAACTTATTTTAGAATTTATGTTTTTTGTCTTATCTTTTAAAATACCATCTGGATAGTTGGACAGATGCTCTTTGCCATTTGGGAGCAGGTGTCTTTTTGCATAAAATGAGCTGTTTTATTATAAGTTATTTCCTCCTTTCCCTCTGTCTCACCCTAGGCAAGTGGCCAATGCTCTGTTTTTCCTGCCTTCTGTTGCTACTCAGTCAACTCTCGGCATATCAGGCTGTTCTTTTGTGTATGACTTTTAATCATACAGGACAACGTGAGGAGTGCAGTATTTTAAAGCAGCATTTCTTATAACATTGCTATGGGGTTTTTTATTCTGGATTTAAAACTTTATTTTAATCAGTATCATTATGTTGTCTTTTGTTCTTCAGAAACATGGAGACCATAATATTTTTTTAATATTAAGTATCAAGAGAGCTCCTGGTAGAGTTATGTCCGAAGCAATTCGCGTAGCTACAATAATTACTTAAGTATTAAGTCTTATATTTAGGAAGCAGGTTTAGGAAAAACCAACAGGGCTTAAGGTGCTAGGGAGACAGAATGTTGGTATCTTTTCTCATATAACTCGTATGTTTCATCAATTTTTCCCAAATGGTAGATTTAGTCTTTATTCTGATTTGCCTTTTTTGTTTTTTAGAGTTTTTTCCCTGGTTTGCTGTTTTGAGTTGAGGATTAGCATCGAAGAAAGCATAAAATAATAAAATGACCATTTTTTATATTCTTACTGTTGTTATGACCTAGAACAATGTTGATTTCAGAATTGTTAGTTAAACTCTAAAGGGATGGTAAATGAGCTGCTCTCTTGAATTTCTCTTTGAGGTTAACACTGACAGTGATTTCTGATCATTCCATACTTGCTTCATTCCTCTTTTGTACTGTCTGGTGTAGTAGCCACTAGACATATGGCTGTTCAAATATAAGTATGAATAAATTTAAAATAAATAGAATTAAAATTTTAACTTCTTATTTGCACTAGCCACATTTGCACTGTTAACTAGCCACACATGGCTAGTAATTACTGTGTTTGGACAGTGCACAGTAAACATTCCATCATTGTAGGAAGTTTCATGAGACAGCTTTTCAGATCTGCCAGCCTGCCCTCATCAGATGAGCTTGTCTTCTACTTTAGAAAGAAGATTGAAGCTATTCTTTTTTTGCCATACTCATGTTTCTTTAATCTTTTCTATAGGAAGATTGTTCTTTTCTCATTTATAAGGTTTATGCCTTTGTTTTCTTTTCTTTGTACATCTATTTGTTAACTCCTCTCTCTCTCTCGCTCTCGCTCTCGCTCTCTAGTATCTTTGAAGTTAGAGCAGATACATAAAAGCCATCTGTGGAGGTTACCAGCCGGCTGCTGCTGAGGTGTAAAGCAGGCATTTCATCGTGACATTCTTGTGGAAGTGGTTAACATTATTTGCCCTGTCTTCAGTTTTCCATATCTTCAAGCCAGTTTAGTTTCAGTGTTCATCAAGTTTAGGAGAATAGAGTCATGCTACTCAAAGTCAACATAGTAAACTAATAAGAGACTCATATGTCAGGATGTTATAATATTTGTTAGTGAGAAAAATAACTAACAATAAGACCATGTATTGTCAGCTGGCCTGCTGTAGATGAAATAAAATGTCAGGTTATAAGCAAAGGGTTTCTTTTCTTTAAAGGAGAGAAACATCAATGTGTGGTTGCCTCTTATGCATCCTCCCCTGGGGACCTGGCCCACAACCAAGGCATATGCCTTGACTGGGAATCAGACTAGCAGCCTTTTGGTTTAGAGGCCTGTGCTTAATCCGCTGAACTACACCAGCCAGGGCCAACAAAGGGTTTCTCTGAGTGCACATGGGAGCTGAGTAAGACTTAATCAGATTACCTTAATGTCATCTGCCTTTGACAGCCTTGGGAATGAGTCATTCTGTCTTCTGCACGTATCTGTCAGATGAACCTAGTGTCAGCCGGGCTAACCTTGTTTCTTGGAAATGCTCTTTGCAACTCTACATGCCAACTTTTCGAGCCTTCCAGAGGAACATTTTTCTTCTATTCCTTTTTTATTTAAATCAGGCAGATTATGATTAAATTGATTTAAGGATCTGCTTCCCATTTTAATAATACCAGGCATAGGCCCTGGCTGGCGTGGCTCAGTGGATTGAGTACCAGCCTGTGGACTGAAAGTTTGCCAGTTTGATTCCCAGTCAGGGCACGTGCCTGGGTTGTGGGTCTGGTTGCCAGTTGAGGGCATGCAAGAGGCAACCAATTGATGTATCTCTTGGACATTGATGTTTCTCTCCCTCTCTTTCTCCCTCCCTTCCCCTCTCCCTCCCTTCCCCTTTCTCCCTCCCTACTTCCCCCTAAAAGTAAATAAATAAAATATTTAAAAAACATATACCAGGCAGAGGTTGAGAGGTCACCTCTGTTGTTTTTTCTCCATCTCTGTTGTTTTGAATTATAACCCGTTTTGCTCTAAGACTGGACCGTATTTCCTGTTTCAGGCAACGTAGAGTGCACTAACTCCTCAGGGTAATGATTACAGGTTTCTATTGCTCCTATGCCAAATTTCTAGGGTGGATTTTCTTATTTTGTAACTCCTGAATCTACATTTTGTAGATTTTTTTCCCAAAGTGTAATCATATACTCATCATTACAGAAATTCCTAAATACATAGATATTTCTATTAAGGTGTTTGCTGTTCTTAAAATCAAAAACATTAAAGCAGAAGTTCTGGGTATACTCAGATCTCTCAAAAACGATATGACCTTTGGTTCTTTTTTATTTCTTTTATCACTATTTAATCCAGCACATTTATATCCTCTTCTTCTTCCCCTCATTTTTTTTCAGTTATCAAGTTATCTTTCTTTTTTCTTAACATAATCTCTACAAATTTTCCTCCTATTACTTCCATTCCAGTCTGTCTAGCCTACTTCAGTAACGTTCAAATTCTCCTCATCTTGATCTACCTCTTTTGTCTTTCCTCTCTGAACAAGAACTTTGGTTTATGCATCTTTGTATCTGAAACAGATAAATCATTATTTTGTGATAATATGATCTGATTTTATTAGTTATTTAACACATAGCGCTACCTTAGTTCTATTTTTTAATCATTAGAGTATTTATGTGAACTCTATTTTTTAGTGTGGTGAACAAGTCTGGGGTGAATCGTGTAGTGTGGAAACGACCTCGGCTCACTCATAATGGACCTGTTAGAAGGAGCACAGTTATTGACCAGATTCCTTTTCTGGCAGTGGCAAGAGCACTTGGTAAGTATGGTTTATGTTTGGTGAAATCATATTGGATTTTCTACAATATACGGTGGCAGAATGAAAGAGATTCTTGTGGCACACAGTGGGGGTAGAGCTTTAAAACCTAACTGAGGGAAAGGTTAAGGTATGGATTTCAATTTTAATTGCTCTTTGATCATGAATCATGTTCAATGATTTGCTAATTCCCACCTATACTTAGGGAAGGATATGTATGCCTAGGCTTAATGCTACCCTTGAAAGTATTTCTAAATGACCTTCCCTGCTCAGTACTTGACATTTCTCTTAAGGGTCTTTAAAGCTCTCCTTTCCTTTAGGTAGCAAAGTAAATTGTCCATGACAAAATAAAATACTTTCTAGTCTACCTGGCTTTGGAAGGAAGGCTAGAAGATTGTAGTGAAAACCTTGGATTTGCTAGTTGAATTTTATCCTTAGAAAACATCAAGCCTTTGCTGGTGTAGCTCAGTGGATTGAGCGCGGACTGTGAACAAAAGGATCGTAGTTCTATTCCCAGTCGGGGCACATGCCTGGGTTGTGGCCAGGTCCCCAGTTGGAGCCAAGTGAGAGGCAACCACACATTGGTGTTTCTCTCCCTCTCTTTCTCCTTCCCTTCCCCTCTCTAAAAATAAATAAACAAAATCTTTTTTTTTTTTTTTAAGGAAAGAAAACACCAATTGTTTTCATCTCTGTAACAGACACTTGAGTAGTGACTTGGCGCCAGGCGCTGTGTTTGGTTTGGTGAGACAGTGCAGATAGATGTATACGCAGATAGGGAACAAGACTGCAGCTGGAGAGACAGGCAGGAACGGGGTGAGTTCGTGTCCTGCTTGTGTGGTCAGTTGGTGGGAGTTTCATGCCTTAAACCAAAAGGTTGGGGGTTGATTCCTGGTCAGGGCACATACCGAGATTGTGGGTTCAATCCCCAGTTGGAGCATATATGGCAGGCAAGCAATTGATGTTTTTCTTTCACATCTCTCTCTCTCTCTCTCTCTCTCTCTCAGGGTCTTGTGATAAAGAATAATTTTAAAAGGGAAAACTATTTTAGGCATTGTGATGAAAATGCTCCTTTGGGAAGTGTTCTTTTAGCTGAGATTTGATAAATGGCTGAGAAGGAGCTGTACTTTAGCTTTTTCCCCCTCACCGCACCATGGTTTTATCCTGACTGATGTAGCTCACTTGGTTGGGTGTCATCCTGCAAAGCAAAAAGTTGCGGGCTGGGTGTGGTCAGGACTTAGGCCTAGGTTACAGGTGGCATATGAGAGGCAACTGATTGATGTTTCTCACATTGATGTTTTTCTTCCTCTTTTTCTCCCTTCCTTGCCCTGTCTCTAAAAATGAATAAATGGGTAAAATGAAAAATTCATTAAAAATACCTTCCCTTTATTTAAAAATTAAAACAAACAAACAACAAACCGAGGAACAGCGGCATGAAAGAGATGCATAGGGCAAGCTGTGGGGAAAGGACGCAGAGCTCCCATGCCCTCTCCAGGTACCGTTCTTCCCAAATCTTAATGTGTTCCCCAACCGGGAAGCTCTCTGAACACCATCATTTTTTCAAAAAGAAGCTATTCTTGTGAAGAGCCTGTTGAAGAATATTCCAGGCATGGACCCTGAATTAGGAAAGAGCTTGACATGGTCTAGGCATTATCAGAAGGTTGGAGTTAACACAGATGTGGGCCACATCATGACAGATAACTAGCATTCTAGCCCAAGTGTACTGGGAAGCACTAAAAGATACTAAGCTAAAAAGAAAAAAAATACTAAGCTAAGGACTAACACTTGATTTGCCTTTTCAAGATCATTCTTTATATTACTATCTCTTGTTCATCTTTGGTGATCAAATGCACACTGTACCAATCTTCATGAAGCCTATAATATAGTGTGAAGGGACACAGATAAAAAACAAATGAGAAATTTATTCTAGAAGGTTTCACATAGGAACTAAACAAAATGAATTGCTAGTAATTGGCAGGAGGCATAGTGGGTGGCAGGGGAGGGCTACTTTAGAGAGGATGATCAAGGAACATTTTTAAGGAGGTGATGTTTGAATAAGACCTGGAGGAAAAGGGATGAGGAAAAAACCTGTCAAATCAGAGCCACAGCATTTGCAAAGGCCATTAAGCAGTTAGTGAACATTTCATTGGGGTAGGAGATGAGGAGGGGCTTAGGGGTTGTCCCACACATGCTCTCTTTTCCTACTAACATTCTGATTTCCTTTTGGGAAATTGTGTTCCCCCTACTATGTGCATTCTTTATTTAGACATTCTTATTCCGGCTCCTTTTGTAAAACATAAAATATCCAGCGTATGACCCCAGTTATACAGTCAGATTCTCTATTCTAGGATTTTGAATTGTAAATTCAGTAAGGACAAACATTTAAAAGGCTGATTGGAATGAATTCATCCTAGTGATGGCGATTCCTTCAGCAGTATCCATTGCAGTGTTTGGGTGTTCCTGCCTAATTGCTTGGAAATGCCATTTCCATTCCTGATTCTCTACTTTCTTATCTTTTGTGTGAGCAGTTACTTGATTTTTTTTTTCTGATGCCTTTTTGGTGTATATTAACCTGAGCTGGAAATTGTTGCTTGCAAGCAAAGAAACCTACTGTAGGAAGGAAAGGGTTGAATGAGACATGAATGAAGCTAATGTGATAGAACAGAAGTAGAGATGTAAACGTAATATGGAAATGAGGACACTTGCCTGATTAAGAAGGGCCATGCAGGCTAAGTAGGGGGTTTGGTGAAAATGTAATGGGTGGTAGACAATAACTAAATCCTGCAAGGCTTTCTAGACCGCAGTAAGAATTTTATTTTAAGTGCTTTCAGGGAGGGATTGAAGAGTATAGAAGTATACCATAGGGGTTAGGAGACTCTGGGATCCCAAATTTCCAGGTTCTGATCCCAGTGCTGTTACTTACTGTACTGCAAACTTGGGCAAATTACTTAATATATTGTGGATGACTTAATACACATAAAATAGTGCCTGGCACATTGTAAGTGCTCTATAAATGTTAGCTGTTATTGTTGCTTATTGAAGTAGGACAGTGACATTATCCAGGTTGGGTTTTTTTTTTTTTAATTTTTTTATTGATTATGCTGTTACAGTTGTTCTATTCCTCCTTTCATTCCCCTCCACCCTACCCCCCATCCCCACCATCACCCCCCCTTTAGTTTATGACCATGTGTCTCAAGTCCTTTAGATTCTATATTTCCCATGCTATTCTTGCCCCCCCCCATCTATTTTCTATCTACTGTCTATGCTACTTATTTTCTGTACCTTCTCCCCCCTTCTCCTCCTCCCACTCCCCTGTTGCTAACCCTCCTTGAGATCTTCATTTCTATGTTTCCACTCCTGATCTAGCTGTCCTTTTAGTTTGCTTTAGTTTTAGGTGTGGTCGTTAATAACTGTGAGTTTGTTGTCCTTTCACTGTTCATGTTTCTTTAACTTCTTTTTCTTAGATAAGTCCCTTTAACATTTCATATAATAAGGGCTTGGTGATGATGAACTCCTTGAATTTGATCTTATCTGAGAAGCACCTTATCTGTCCTTCCATTTTAAATGAAAGTTTTGCTGGATAGAGCAATCTTGGTTGTAGGTCTTTAGATTTCATGACTTGGAATACCTCTTTCCAGCCCCTTCTTGCCTGTAAGGTCTCTTTTGAGAAATCAGCTGACAGTCTGATGGGGACTCCTTTGTAGGTGACTGTCCCCTTAGCTCTTGCTGCTTCTAGGATTCTCTCCTTCATTTTAATCTTGGCTAATGTAATTATGATGTGCCTTGGTGTGTTCCTTCTTGGGTCCAACTTCTTTGGTACTCTCTGAGCTTCCTGGATTTCCTGGAAGTCTATTTCCTTTGCCAGATTGGGGAAATTCTCCTTTATTATTTGTTCAAATAAGTTTTCCACTGGTGGCTGTGCCTTTCCCCCTTCTGGTACCCCTATAATTCGGATGTTGGAGCGTTTAAAGATGTCCTGGAGGTTCCTAAGACTCTCCTCATTTCTTTGAATTCTTGCTTCTTGACTCTTTTCTGTTTGGCCATTATTTGCTTTCTTCTGGTCCACTCCATGGATTTGAGTCCCAGTTTCCTTTTCATTGCTATTGGTGTCCTGTGCAATTCCATTCATTTCAGTTAGTTTTGCCTTCATATATTTGTCTAATTTGTCGGTATAATCAACCAGTTCTGTGAGGATCCTGATCACCAATGTTTTAAACTGTGCGTCTGTGAATTTTGCTATTTCTTCATCACTTAGATTTATTGGCTCTGGGGCTCTGAGATCCTCCTGCGCCATTCTTGGTCTGTTCGGGCCCTTCAAATGTGAGAAGCGGCGCCTTGGATTCCCAGGTCGCTGGGTTGTGACGCTGTGTGTGGGGGTGTGGCCAGAGCCGGGAAATGGCGACCCCCTCTGCCGCTTCTCACAGCTGGGTGCGGAGGAGCAGTGCCTTAGGTGGTTCACCTGGGCAGGGCCACTCAGAGTTGCTGGGTTATGACGCTGTATGTGGAGGTGGGGTCAGAGCAGGGAAATGGCGGCGCCCTCCATTGCCGCTTGCCGTGGGGACCTGCCGGCCCGGTCCAACCGCCCACTCTCTCGCCTGTCCACCCTCGCACAAATGCGCGACCTCAGTCAACACGCAGCCCCGGGCCTGGTTGTCTCCCCCTCGGTCGCTCGCCTGGTTGCTCGCTGGGTCGCTCACTAGGTCTGACCCTGCACCTGGATTCCGCGGGCCTGAGTGTGTCTGGCCGAGTCCTCCTGTGCAACCCTGCTCCGCCAGCCGCTGGTTTCGCCCCTTACCGGTCAGGCTGAAGAATTTGTTGTTAACGGACTTCCGAAAAGTTCAATTTTCCGTGTTATGGCTGTGTTTTCTGTTGCTAATATTTAGTTTTCTATAATCTTGGTTGTGTGAGAAGGCACGGCACATCCACCTATGCCTCCATCTTGGCGGAAGTCGGGTTTTTTTTTAAATGTTTTTTTAGGGTTTTTTTGCTGGGTCATACGGTAGCTT